GACTAAAGCCCTCTGTTGAGTGTTTCGAATGTGTATGCATTAGCTTTTATGTAATAGTACTTTTCAAGAGTGCAGTACTAACAGAGAAGAATGAAGGCTTTGGGCTCTAAACTATATTTTGTCCAGTTAGGATTTGAAAGTCTTGGGATAGTGGTAGGTTCATTCCTTTACTTATGGCCATTTCTTCCCCATGTGGTCTTTCCTTCTCTATTGCCTAGAGCATTGTTGTACTCTGGAGGTAAGGGTGCTATTATATATGAGAAATAGAGATGGTCCCTTGAGAATAGTGGAGAATACTGAGTGGGAACAGAGCTGTTAAAAAATCCTTGAAGCTCATTATTTTAAAAAGTATTTGGGGTTTTTTGTCAGCCCCTTTTTTCTTAAGTTAGCTGTGTAAAAAAGGTTGAAAGAAAATTCTAAGTCATCAGTGCCCATCCCTTTTCCTGCTTGATCTTGGAGTAGAGCTGTCACTCTGTGTTTGACATCACAGCCAGTTGCCATGGAAATAATAGCAATGTTACAAATTTATCATTATGACTTTTCTGCAGGGTCTATGAAAGGCAAAGAAAAGCTGTGAGAAAGGGAAAAAAAACTTATTGAAGATTGACTTTCAGGGTAAAATTTTCTAATTTATACTTTGGCCTTTTATCTGCACTGCAGAACCCAATTTCATATTCTGTATTTGACGTCAGTAGTGTTTGCATGTAGACTGGGTATTTAAAACACACACACACACACACACACACCCAGCTTTGTGGATGCAAAAGAATAGTTTTTCCAGGAAATTCATGATTTAAGGAATGTCTGTGTGGTGTCTCCATTTTTTAACACTCAAATATAAAATCATTTAAAGAGTAAGCTTATTTGTTTAGCTACATTTTACTTCCTTTATTCTTTGTTCTCTCAAGTGGTTAGCTCTATTGATTTTTCTCTAGTTTGATAAAGAAATTATAGCATTTTCACTTCACTTGGGAGCTGATACTGTATTAGAAATATTTTAAGACAAGATATTGTAGGCTAAACTGAGAGGTTATTAGGATTTTTTTTGGGGGGGAAAGGAGGGGAGTTCACTTTGAGCATATTTCTATAATGATTCCAAAACTCCCTTGTGGTATGCTTTCATTTTGAGTGTCATTTCAGTCTTCTACTCATTACCAGAACCCTTTTTCATGCTAAAAATCGTGTCACTTATGTATATCTAATAACACAGTAATGTACTATTCTCATATTAATGGTGAAAATAATATTTAATTTGCGTTTCATTAAGGATTATTTTGTCTTCTCCCTCTAACGTGTTTAGGTAGTTATTTGTCACCTTAATACTAATATAACCTCATCCTCAGTTAAATAAGAAGTTAGGACTGGGGAATTTGAAATATTTGTAAATTGACAAGAACAGGGGTTTGAAAGAACTGTCATAGATCGTTCTTCCTCTATCCATTCAGTATATGTCTAGTATAGTAAATGTTAAAACTGAGCTTTTGATTATACTCTTTCTTTCCATTTCAATTTCACATCAAGGACTGAACTCTGTATTTGGAACCTATTTAATTTTGATTGCTGATCTATCTGGGATAGTGCTCTTTTGTTGACAAACTTTTGAATGGCTTGTGCATCTGAGTTTTGTGAGATTGGATGCGTAGGATATTTGCTTTGAGTTGAAACACTTTCCTTTCTGTATGAACCTACTGTATAAAAACCCCATTGTTGCCTTTACTCAATAATTCCTTTCCCTTTTATTTCCTATGCCCCATAATCAGCACCTTATTATTTATTGTTTTGTTCTTTGATTATCTGGACCAGACGTTTAGCACCTTATCACGGCTTCTTGTTCACTATGTAGTTCACAAGGTTATATCTTATCTTCCCCAACTAGATTGTAAGTTCCTTGTGGACAGAAATGCTGTTTGAATCTATTCTAGTATTCCACAAATCTTTCACATAGAGCTAGGCACAGAATATAGCTTCAATGAATTCTTATTGTTTAGTTGTCTAATTAACAGAAAGGTTGACTTAAGTAGCCTCTTTGCATTTGATTTTTAAAATGATAATTTAAAAATTGTTCTCAGAAGAGGTTTTTAAGTGTTGAGAAAAATATGTGTACTATTTGGAAATAGTATAGTGAATAATTTACTTTAGGTTATTAGTTTAGATATCCTGATTTCTGTTCAGCTAATTAAACTTGAAAGTCATTGTTATAATGTTTCATAAATGGATTTGGGGGTTCTTACTTTCTTAGTTTTATTTGATAGTAAGACAAGGGGAAAGAGCTGGCAATGTATTTATTGGATTTTAGATTGCACATTCATTTCAAATGCACGTGCTGTGGGCTTGTGCACCTGAGTGCACTGCAGCCTACAGCACATTTAATTTAAAATCGGGTGCCCTCAGGGACCATCACACTGCTAGGCTTCCTACAGTTCTTTTAGGAACCACTTTTAAAGGTAGTAAGAATCAAGAATTTAAGAAATTGTGGTAGGAAGGATAAGGATAGTTTGGGAGTGGCTCTTGAAAGGGAAGCTATACATTTTTTTCTTATACTTTTAATTTGGCAAGTAAATTTCTAGAACACATATAGGAATTCACTAGTTAACTTATTATTAGGGTTATATCGATTTTATAAGTTTAATTCTCTTGTTACTTGGGACCATATTGTTCTAAATTTTAAATAAATGCTGTTTTGACTTTTGAAATGCTTTTTGTTGGTTTAGTGAGAGGGGGGCAGAAATCTCAACCTCTCACATTGAATACTAAAAATTTATGCCCAAAATTTTTCAAGCTAAAAAATTTGTCATGAAGAAAAAATTGTCTTCAAGCTTAGAAGCTCGTAAAAAGTTTGTCTTTTAGGATTGTTAAATTTAAGCACCTAAGAACAGGAACATCATTTTACTGTCTTCTTGCCCAAGATAATTCTGATCTGATGTCTTAGAAAGGGCTTAAATGCCTATATAAACAGTGTGTTGATTTATAAATTATTTGGACCTGAGAGAGAAGCCATGTGTCAGAACATCATTCTGTTTGTCAGTATTTTCCATATATTAGCTCAATCTGCACCTGTAATTGAAGGTGAAAATATTATGTAGAATAACATTGGCCACCATAAAAGAAATGTGTAGTGATAGTCAATAAATTTATTAAGTGGATTGCTATAAACATAGCTATATTTGTAAAGTGTTACATGTAATAATAGACTATTACATTAGTAAAAACTTGCTTTATGATAATTAAGAAGGCAGAATTTCTAGCCTTTATTCCATTATAAGTTTAATTAGAATCACTTGCAAATTATATATAAGCCACTCCTTTGGGCATGTCGGGATGGGAAAAGTCGTGAGTGCTTTTTATGCTTTTGGGATCAGTTTTGAAACATTTTATTTTCTTCTAATATTAAATTTCTTTAACTAGGCAAAGGCCTTCTTTTTCAACATTTTCTTCATGCTATGTTTGAACTCCTTTTTGGAATTATTTCACTATGAGCCATAACTCACTTTAAATTAGGAATGTTTTCCAGGAGTTCAGTCTGTCTCCAATACCCTTTCATTGATTTCTGAGTGCTATCTGCAGTCCACCCACAGACCCAGTGTGACTTGATCTTTGCAATCTGATTTTTAGCTGCTCTGATTAAATTTCATCCCTGGGATGTTATAAAAAAAATCAAATGAAATTGCATGCTAAAACTTATCAATATTTTTGGTGATAAATTCTCAGGCACTGAAATTGTAAATTTTGAAACCAAAGTGCTAACTCTTTTTAAGGTTTCTATTTAATAATTACTTTTAATCCTTTAGTGTATATTTGGTAGAGTTTTGTATGTCTGTTTTAGAGTAGGAGATATGTTAATAAAGTGCTCAATATTCATTACAAATAATCTTGTCTGTTTTCTAGTCAAGATTCTGAAAACCTTCTTGCCCTTTCTGTATAGCCAAGCAGACTGTATTAACTTCTGCCTTAATTTAAAAAGCGATTGTGAAACTTGTTGGCTCCACACCTTAAAGAATTGCATGTTTAATAATTGTGAAGGCTTTCCATCAGATTTGTCTCGGTTCTGAATTAATAATGTTGCTGACTTATTGTTTTAGAAGAAGAAGTCCTTGACCTGTTAGGTTGAAAGAATTGTGACTGCTCTGAACCTTTGTGGGTCCTGTAGCTGTGCCATATCCCCTGTGAATAATTAGAGGTATTTGAAGGTATTGCTGTAGAAGCCAATTTGTGTCTTTCACTTTGCATATTGTTGAAGCCTCATGAATTAATCATAAGCAGGGCAAAAAATTAACTTCTTCAGACACATATTTTGATGGGTCATGAGGGAGAATGTAAAGTGATCTGTAAAATATTCTACTGATCCTCTAAGTATTAAATTATTATACCTACAGGCTAATTTCAGGGGGGAAAAAAAGGACGATTTTTTTCCCCCTTTCTCACTAACTCAGTAGTGAACTTGAAAAATTAAGGTCCATTATTTTCTAGAACTACAAGGAGAAAGATGAAGGGGCACTGGTGATTTTCTGAAAACCATCCATATTGTGCCCCATAGCTCTTGTTTGAACTAGTTTGGGTGATTTTTTTTTCTTTTTATAATTGTTAGGGATTTTTTAATGTTTATAAACCAAAAATTATTTTAAGCAAATAACTTATATCTCTATAAAGCTTTAAGGTTTACAGAGTTCATTTCTCACAACAACCTTGTAAAGTAATTTTTATTTTCCCCATTTTATAGAAAAGGAAACTGAACTTCTGAGAGGTTAAGTGGTTTGTCCATTATCATATAGCTAGTAAATAACTGAGGCGGGATTTGAATCTAGCTCCAGTGCTCTATCACAACATTTGTCTCTTCAACAAAAACATTTTCTTGTGCTATATTCAGTAAAATATATACTTGTCTTTCTCACTTAAGAGCCCTGGAAGCTAAAATTCTGAATCAGTATACCTTTGTTTCCTGTTTTAGGTTTAAACTTAACTTTTCATTAAAAATTTTTACAAATTTATTTTTCTTTTTTCAGCCAATGAAACTGAAATTGCATTCTTCTGTGAAGAAGATTACAAGAACTACAAAGCTAATCCTGTTTCATCCTGGTGAAGACTTCTGGGGAGCTTGTTTTTTGCATACCTATAGTAAGCTCTTTATTTTGCTTACTGAGAGTTTTTTTTTTTACTGATAAATAAATCCTAAAATATTAATCCATGCTGAGTTACAGTTTCTTTTCACAGCCTGCCATTTGTATCCAAACTCTGTTAGTGGTACCTGTTGTTATTTTACATTTCTCAGACACACTCATGTCTCCTTCCCCGCCCACTTGTATTTTATCATCTAGGCACTGTAATTAATGTAGCATTTCTTTTTATGATGAAAACCGTATTGAGAGATTTAAAAAAATAACAGAAACCGAAAAGTAAGTGTAGTGTACTAGTAGAACACTGTTCCATTCCCCTATAGTTTTTGTTTTTAACATTTTCTCAGAACCTTAGAATTTCTTGTGACTAGCCAATATTAGATTGTTCTTGAAAGAATTTATGAGGTCTTTTATTCATTTTGTGTCTCATCTATAGTTTCTAATTGGAGTTATCTATTACTTTATTTTTCCACCAAAAGAGATGAAGGCCTAGTGTGATCATTTCATCCATTTTTCAGTTTCTTGACTATACAACACACAACCACAAAGGAAAATAAGCATTACATATTCCAGAGAGATTTTTGTGATGTCTGAGAGTCATGCATTTTCCTTTTTAAAAATACATTAGTCAGCATAAGTGGCATGGCTGAATTTCTGATGGCTTGAGAAGTAAAATACAGTAGAACCAAATTCATATCTTTGGGGAAAAGATATCTGTGTCTGTTGCTTAGAGAAAATTGTTCTTTGAAAACAAGTTTGTCCTTCAAGATAAAATCTTTCAGACTATAGCAGCGTTTTCATTAAAGATCATCAAATCAATAAGCCCCTTATGTGTGCCATGGAAGTCTTCTAGTTGCTGGGGTGACAGAGACAAAAAGGAAATGACCCTGCCCCCTCGGTGCTTCTATTCTTTTGGGGTAAACAACATTACTCATAAAAGTTTATACAAAACAAATCCAAAGTAAATATATCAGGTGGCTTTGCGTGAAGACACCAGGAAGCTGGGGATCAGGAAAAGACTCGGGGGGAGGCAGTGCTTGAGCTGAGCTTTGAAGGAAGCTCAGGATTCTCAGAGGTGAAAGGAGGGAAAAGGGGAGTGTGTACCAGGCCTAGTGACAGTGTGTGCAGAGGCATGGAGATGAGAGATGGAATATTATATGTGAGGAACAGCAAGACCAGAAGTTAGGCTGCATTGTAGAGAGTTTAAAGAAGAATAATATATGATATACATGGAAGAGTAAACTGGAACCTACTTTCCAGGTACTTGAATGACAAACAGAGAAGTTTGTATTTGATTCTAAAGGCAATAGGAAGCTCTGGAGTTTATTGAGAAGAGGAGAGTCCTCATGGTGAGACCCAGGCTTTAGGAATGTCACTTTGTCAGATGTGTGATGGACAGATTAGATAGAGGAGAGACTAAATGTAGGAAGACCAATTAGGAAACTTGTAATAGTCTAGGTGACAGCTGATGAGGGATGAGTTTTTGGGGAAAGCTAATGAGTTTCCTATTAGATGTGTTGAGTTTGAGATGCCTGCAAGACATCCAGTTGGAAATGTCCAAAAGGTATTTTTGATGTGAACAGACAGGGTGGGATATGTAGATTTGGGAGTCATCGTCACAGAGATAATTATTTAACTCATGGGAACTGAGGAGGTCGCCTAGAGAGAATATATAGAAAGAAGAGGGCTCTTGATAGAGCATTAGTGTGCACCACAGCAAAGGAGCAAGGCATAGATGAGGTTGCAGTAAAGGAGACCTGAAAAGTGCCATCAGACAAGGAGAGCAAGAACTAAAGGAAAACTGGGTCAGGAAAACTCAGAGAAGAGAGAGTATCCAAGAGGAGAGGATGGTCAACCCGGAAATGCTTCATGAAGCTCAAGAAGGATGAGGATTAAGAAAAGGTCATTAAGTTTCAAAATTAAGAGATCACTGGTAGCTTTGGAAAAAAAAACCATTTTTCCAGCAGAAAACCAACAGATTGTAATTAGAAACAGACTTAGTCCAAAAATTAAAGTTCCCTGTGTGATGTCAGCCAGGCTCATAATTGCTCCTTGAAGCCAATGAGGCAGAAATGTTTGTTCTGTTTTGACCACAGTATCAAGGACTGACTCCAAGTCCTGCCCCTGACCAGGGGCAGCTCATTTAAACTTTCAGTACCTTAAGCAACCCACAAAGGCTACCAATGACAGAAGAGTTGGCAGTTGGTATCAGTGAGGGTATTTTCACAACTGGAATTCTCTATCCTAATGAAATCACAGGTCTCTGCACCAAAAACCAGTCTTTGCACCACATGATTTTTTTGTTGTTTTGCTAAGTGAGTCATCATAGGACTCCTTAAACTCTCAGTGAACTCTCAGTGTATTTCAAATATATTCTAATTATAAAAATTAAATTTATGTGGGCTTCAAAACAATAATTTTCTTAAGTGAGTTAACCCCTATGTATATATTGTCACTTAAACTGAAGTAACTGTAAAAAAAAAGTGTGTATATATGTGTAATAAATATTTCTTAAAATAGTTTTCTTCTTAAACATGTCTCCTTTTCTTCCCTCCCTCCCTCCAAAGGGACAAAAAAGTAGTAAACCTTGGGAAGAATGATTCTTTTTCAGGTACAAGTTAGACTAGGTAGCCTTTAGGGTCCTTTCCAACTTTTATATTCTCTGCTTTTGTGAAATGATCATTAAGGCAAGTCATAGTTTTATCATTTGGTCTCCTTAGGATAGAGTGAATACTCCAGCACGTGTCCAGGTAGTTGACGATTCTCTTCCCATCACTACAGTATCATGCCTCCTTACCAGGTTTGTGCCTTGTCTTCTGTAATCCTTTCTGGGTAGTTGTTAGCATATTCCCATTAAAGTTACCACTTTTTATCCCACTGTTCATTTTTATCCCACTGTTCATTCTTACCCAAATGTTCTTCACCATTCTTCTGGATATCATCCAGTGAGTACTTCTTGGTACCTAGTGCTGCTCCATTTCTCCTTTTTTCCATTCATTTTTTTTGAATTTATTTGTCTGTACATTTTATATCCCCCAAAGAAAATGTAAGCCCCCAGGGGCATTTTTCATTTTTCATTTTTATAATTGTATCCTGTGCACTTAGCTCTCTTGCTTGCAAACACCTTAGTGGCACTTAATAGGTACTCATTTAGTTGAATAGAGTTGAATAATATGAGGTGGTATCACATACAAAAAGTAGTGGTTATTTATCTTTTTTAAATTGTCAAATTTTTTTTTTGTTTCAAGTCAATCTCCTACCAACATCTTCATTTATTCAGCAAGCAGTTATTAATGCCTACTATATGCCTGAAACTGTCTTTGGTGCTGGGATTATTATGAAGACAAAAACCAAAATAATATCTACCCTCAGGGAGTTTATATTCTATTGAATACAATGCATTCTTGGCAGTCCTAACTGAAAAAAAAGTTTGTTTTCTCCTCATTTGCAGAAGATAAGTGCAACCTTTAGGCCAGAAGTTCTTAACCTTTTTTGTGTCATGGATCCCTTGGGGCATCTGGTGAAACCAATGGACTTTTGAAATAATCAATATGTATGTGTCTTTGTGCACAAATAGGTATGCAAATGCCTGTGTATACATCCATGTGTGCTTTTGGCAGGTTTGCTTTTTCATCTTTGGTACTCTCCTTTTATCTGTCTCTCTGAGACATGTTCCCAGAGCAGAAAATTCATCCATACTGCTCTGAAAGATTGTCAACATGCATTTCTCAAAGATGCTGTTGATCGGATGTTAGTTGGGGAGCCTCTCTTGAGTTCTCTACAGTTTGCCCATCTCTAGAGGGAGCCAGGGATCACATGATAAAGTCAGGAAGATCTGGGTTTCCATTTTGCCTCTGGTACTATCTGTATGACAGTGGACGAGTTACTGAATCTCAGTCTTTCCTTACTTGTAAGTGAAAAAATACCTGAAGTACACACTTCACAGGGCTGTGGCAAGGCTAAAATAAGGAAATGTACCCTTTGCAAATATACTTTGTAAGCCTTGAAGATACTATAAATGATGATATTATCATATTGATGAGTGAAGGAAGATGGATGAAGGCATGAAACTGATGACCCAGCCTATTTCAGTAGTCATAGTATTTGGGAATGGTAATTTCAGAGAAGAGGATTATAGATAGAGAAGAAGAGATTATCTCTCCCCCATGCCATCCCAAATAGATTGTTAATTTATTAAGGAAAATGATTGAAAATATTGATAGTGAGCACTGGCAGATTGTTGTGGTCATCCAGATGACAGTAATTTTAGAAGAAATTATTTTAATTGATCTGTGCCCACATGCTAACCTAGTATATTACTATCAGAAAATCTTCCTCTGTTTCATCGGATGATCAGGAAAGCACAAATCTACCCAAGTTCATACCCAACTTTCATAATCATCTACTGTGTTAAACCTAGTACACAGTTCTCTTCAGCTTAAATTCCCTGGAATGCAAACAAGATTGTGGAACCTTCCTTCATTTTCTGTCAAAGAAAGTGTGTTTATTATATATGCCAAGTGGCAGTTCAGCAGCACCTGTAGGATACTCCCAATTATTATTTTTTTGCCTCTCTTTGTATTTTCAATGCTTAACACAGTGACTGACACATAATAAATGCTCAATAATTACTTGTTGACTCACTAGTTGAAAAATGCAAGTAATTTTGGTGCTGAAATGAGGTTGATTTTTAGATCTTTGATCAGGTTATTGTATTGTGTATTGGATTCATGAATTGACATGAAGTATGTCAATAGTGCCTTAGAATTTAAGTTTCTATAGGACAGTGACCCAACTGTGTGTTCTTTTGGTATATGACTCTTTGTGAGAATTCTGTAAAAAGGGCCACTCACAAGTGTTAAGATACCACAGAAAAGAGCTCCATTTTAGGACCTCAGCTAATGCGGCGCAGCTCTACACCAAAACAGAGACAATGAATATCTCTAGGAGTTGTTTTATGTATTTAGCAAAGTGAGTTTTTTTTTGTCTCAGGCTAGTTTTTAACAGATAGCTGTCCATGCCACGAGACAGAGTGCCGACGCCTTAGTAAACGATCTCTGCAATGGGCATTGTTCAGTTAAGAATGGCATAGTCCCAAAGATCCTCTGTCTAAATCAGGCCAGGACAAAGGCCCATTTGTGGTGACTAGACTTCTACCTTCATTTCTCATTTATTAAGACCTGCTATTATTGTGAAACCTTTCATTAGTGCTATATTAGAACAAAATTTCATTTGAGATTTTCCTTCCGATTTTAACAGAAAAACTTTTGGATGGCCCTTTTGAGGTTTATTTCTTATGACAAAATAGGGCCCCCCAAAATGAATTCAGTGTAAGTGGGTAGACTGAAAAGATTCTGAGCAAGGAACAAGTCATTACAGAGAGAGGGTCTAGCAGGGAGTGTAGGAGAAAACTGATGATAATATGACAAACCAGATAGGGTGGGCAGCAAATGAATGGAAGCGGTTGGAAGAAAAGGCTGTCCCCATTGGAAAGAGAATCCAGAAGTTTGATAGACTAGATAATTGATTTGCAGATTGAATTACATTGGGTACAGAGATTCCGGATCAGCAGTCTGAATTCTGGTGTGAATAAGATCCTTTTTTGATTCTTGTTAAAAGTTGGTTTGTGTCTATTGGTTTTGAGTTTAGTTTCTACAGGCACCTGCATTTTCATGCAGCTGACTCATTTTTGTTCTGCATTCAGTTCCTTTGTATGCCTAGAGGCAATTCTGGTGCCTCCTCAGTGAGTACTTTTTTTTTTCCCTAGCTGGAAGAAAATGCTGTGGTAGTTATTAGCAATAAGCACAATAAGTGTCCTAGATTGTCTTTTGTTTCTGTTTGAAATGTCCCTGGAAAGCTGAGGGAGAGAAAGAGAGGAAGATTCGACAGCGCTGCAAATAATGATAGTTTTTTTTCCCCCCAATTGCCTTAAAACAAAGTTACTTGTTTTAAAAGTGACCTAGAAGTGAACTTGTTACTGGCATTTAAAATTAAACCATTCCTAAAAAGGTAAGAGGCATACCATTCAGTATGTTAAAGCTGTTTTACCCTTTTCTGTTGATTATAGATAGTAATCCCTGTAGTGCTATTACTTAGCATCGTATTTTCAGTGTTCTGTAGTTAGTGGTACTGTTATTAATGAATTTTCTTTATATTCATGATACCTGTTTCCTAGAAACTCAAAAGAAAGCTTTGCATAAATTTACATATCATTATGATATTTGCATGAAATGCATGGCAAATGATAGAATTCCATATTACTTGTCATGGAGAAACTGAGGTGTCATACCAGAAAACACTGTCCCAGGGCACGTATGTGGCAGCAGGATCCAGGGTTCTTGCTACCATTTGGATACGTTCCATATCCTTGTCCCTCAACACTAGCATCCACCACTGCAGTGCTCATGAGACTCTTTAAATATCTTTTCTTTAGTATACTTTATTACTTAATCCAATCTCTGCCTTGCTTTTGGCAAAATGTGGCCTTTAGTACTGAACCAGACTTGATATGCCTTCCTTGTTTTTCTTTGGCTTTCTGCTTATTATGACTAGTTAATAATCAACAGTAAGTAGCTAGGTTGCTCAGAGTGTTGGGCCTGGAGTCAGGAAGAGCTGAGTTCAGATGCTGTCTTAGACACTTACTAGCTGTATGACTCTGGGCAAGTCCCTTCACCTCTGTTTGCCTTAATCCAGTGGAGAAGTAAATGACGAACCACTCCAATATCTTTGCCAAGAAAACCCCATGGACAGTATTGGCACGCTATTATGGTCTATGGGGTCATGAATAATCAGAACAACTGAACAAAGATGACAGCAGTAGCAGGTAATGATGTAGTCTAATACCAATTCCTTTAGAAAATTCTGGACACAGGCTGCTTTTTAAAGGAAGAAAATTAAAAACCTCTTCTAGTTAGTCTAAAGGTACCCAGGTAGGAGTATTTCTAAAATGCAAGTTTTGGGGGCTGTGTTTTCTACATATATGATCAGCCCTACAGTTTTATATTATGTTATGACTAGAATTACAGAGTGAATCTCCATAAAGAAAATGAGTTTCTTCCTAAAAGCGCTGTCAAATTTCTTCATTAAAAAAAAACCAGGTAAAATAACAGAGGGAAAATATGGTTAATGTGGAAAGGTACTTTTTACTTTTCTTTTGTGTTCATTACCACCAGGTGTCAGCATAGTCTGTTCCATAGGCATTTTGAGAATGAATGGGCAAGAAAATACTGAGTTGTTTATTAATGGCAATGATTAATAGACAGGGTGGTAAGTTTAGCTTATAAGGTTAGCATTGGGTTTTTTTAGGGGGGGTATTGCTGAAATTCAAAGCTTCAAGCTTATTAATAATGTTGGTTGCTACACTGAAATGGAAAACATGTTCTTATTAATACCGTAACCTATATTTCATTTTGATCTAATATAGTCTGATGTTCAGTATACTATAGCATTTGATGTCTGGCTTAATTT